AACAAAATGAGCTTCCTTCTAATGCCGCAGTGGAGAAGTTGGGTGGTGTAATTTGCATTCAGTTTGGAGGAATGCAATTTTCTATAATAGCCAAGCCTCGGGTCTCAGGTTGCCAGCCATAGGGTGTTGATTAGTTATCAAATAGGCCTTCACAGTGCAACTGCATGCTTTCGCAAGCTGGATACTTAGTATATTTTTAAATCTAAAAAGATCAGAAAGGCATATTTCTGTTCTTTTTGTCACATCAAGGAGCTTAGGCCCTGATTCAGCAAGCCACTTGCTTGAGGAAAAAGCTTGCTTTTGTGCGTAGTCAATGCACTGCTGAATACTGATGGATGCAGATGTATTTTAAAGTGTTAGTAGTATCAAACACAATCATAATATGTAATTAAGGGAAGGGGTGCTTCTCTTAACCACCTTGTACTAAATATGTGATTGTGATTGGCATGGGAAGTGCTTGATATTTACCAGCATACTTTTTTAATAAATATTTTTTTTCTTTCTTAGTGTTAAGGCAAAACCCAGGTTTAAACCACCTTTTTTCTTTTTCCTTGAGGGGAAAAAAAGTTGATGGGTGTATTGAAACTGGTATCAGTTAATGTGATTCTTACTCTAGAGAGAGGTGCTGCAATTTCATCAAATGGCTTAAAATGAGTTGTTGCATTAAGGAGGTAAGTGGCTCAAATGTAACAACTCAACGACATGCGCGTTATGGGAGTGTGTCAGTAAAAATACAATTATTTAAACACTGGCTAAGGAAGACCACTCTGACTTCTAAAATGCACAACTCTTTGAAGTGTGTTTTTTTTCTTTTAAATGAAGAATAGAAACTAACATGCATTTAATGATTTCAAGACATCACGTACAAAATATTCTCTGGAAATTTAACAGTTGAATAACTGAACCCAGCCTGTGACCTGAGAAATCACAGGAACCCTTGGTGAGAAAATAATTTGTAAATGATATCAAATATAATGTAGCTCAGCCACTGCTTGTCTTCTATAGATACCTTTCATAAAATGCTACATAAATCAATGTATAGTTAACATTCAATAAGTAAGATGAAAAAGCTGAATGAGACCGTTGCATTTTAAGAGTTATAAAAGGCTTTATTCGAAAGTAACTTTCTTTGAAAGCTTACTTGTGTAAAGAGACGATGCTGGTTTGTTTTAACATCATCTGTGTTGAGATCAATTCATCAAATGAGTCAAAATATAACAAATTGGGAACCTGTAACATTTTACATATTTTTATGAGGTAGGAACTGAATGGTAATGGTTGTTTCATGTCAGATTGATTAATCCCTGAGCATGGTTCGTTTTTGTTACAGATCGGTTAAACATTTGTGTGTGTCTGTGTTTCTAAATAATACATGTTTTGATCTCGCTTACTTTGTATACAGTTCAATGCAGGTGTTCAAGGCTTCCTTAACAGAAGCAGCATTACAGAAATTGCTTGGAGCAGTGCTTTGATAGTTGGCTTTGAATATGACCAAGTATCTTTTCCTCCACACCAGTTACCACCCACAAATGCTCTGAAGGTGAATTTGTTATTCTAATAAAAATCAACTGTGTCTAAGATAGGTGTATTCAGATAGCTGAGCTCTCTTTAAAACTGCATATATAAGCTCTCAGTTACTTTCAGGGAGAACTTAATGAGCTTGCAAGCATTCCGCATTACGTATTTAAAGCAGGGGCAGGGAGGTAATTGCTTCAGAGTTTTGGTACCGATCTATAAACTCCTAGTGGACTTTACAAAAATGTAAGATAGTTACACCTGTCCATCCACAGATGCTACTGGAACATTTGGTCAAAAACCTGAACTGCCGCTTTTTGTGCCTGAAAACACAGGCTCATTATCTAAAATAAATTAGATAACTCTTCTGCCGTATTTTAGCATCTGGCTGTGCACTTGAAAAGAATGTGCTCTTCCCATCAGTGGGAAATGCTCCTTGGCTTTACCTCTCCCTCCTTCATCTTACTCGTGCAACTAAGGCACGGTAAGACATGAACAGCATTGCTGGTCATGCCTTGCTTTAGAGCAATAAACTTCTTCCCCAGGTCGTGTCCCCCCTGGTGCTCTGGCTCTGAGTTATTACTTTTTATCAAATGTTGGTCATCATGAAAGATTGTTATGGTGAAAGAGCTGTTATAATTAAGTTATTTCTGGGCTTTCATAATTTGAATCTGAAGCAATTTGTACATACTCTGATGTTAGAATATGCGTTGCATCATCTTCTAGGATTGTAATATATTTTTTTAAAAGTTTATTTGTAATATTACAATTGAAAGGCCTTTCTTCCATTTGTGACTTTTCTTTTTCTAAGTGCATGTCTCATACAATGCATGACATGCTATAATGCAGGGTTTTTTAAATTACATTCAGTTGTTTCACAGTGTTCCAAGGTACCATTTTGGTAGTCTTGTAGTTAATTGCCATCAGTTATTTGACGTGCTTGAAACTGAGGGAATTCTAAGAAAAGTTTGAGGCTTTTTTGGCTTTTT